AAAAATCATTGATGTTGTTATTTCTGTATATTATTTGAGTAAGAATAATTTCGCAAATCAATTATGTTCCGAGGGTTAAACGCGACCACGGTGGGTACATTTGTGCAAAAGCTAATTGTCAGACTTAAAATTAACGATCTTCATCACAACTAAACGTGTGTCGAGAGAGTACGGTTCTTGTAACAGCGTTGAATATATCTTTCAATATGCATATATTCTATAATACATTCAGCAGACACGGTGAGTACAGTGATCCCGACTTACATAATAAGATAGGGACGTTTCACGTCGTGTAACAGAAACGTGTAAAGAAATGTGATAAAAGGTTTGAAAAAAATAAACATGCAAAAGAGAGTACGAATGGAAATAAATATAAACCATTTACATACCATCTTCTTTACACAAATCAACTGAAATATATTTAAGGTATATTTTATCATCGTTAAATCATCACTGAACGTGTTCTTACTATCTCAAATATAGTAAACTCGATGCTACGCGGTGACTTTGGAGAAAAGCGGAGTTTGAAAATTTTGGCAGCAGATGCAAAATGGAGATACCGTTTCTACGAATATGTGACCGCTTCGTGCTGATCGAACGTACGCGAAATGTGCCGATCCAAGTTTCTTGCAAACTTCCTCGTTAAAGATCTGAATTCACCGTCAAATCGATAATACTGTAATAGTTGTGAAAATATGTATATTTCAAACGTATACTTCGTACATACATTTCCCATTGATCGAGCAAGTTTTACTTGATACACAGATACAAGAATGTAATGGACGTATCGGTGATAATAATCACAAGCAAAATGAAAACCAAACTCAACCCAGTACTGAAAAATCAAGCGCTATTCTAAAAATATCGCGCCCGTTATTTCATTTGTTTTCAAAAGCAATTTATTTGAGGATGACAGCTATTGATGTTTTCAAGCGATACCTAATGTTTGAAATATAAATTTAATAAAAAAAAGTAATAACTAGCCAGTTGGGTTGACTATAAGTTTTCCGTCTCAATTTTTAACCATTACAGGTGACAATAAGCAAACTCTCCTTTCGTAAAAAAAAAGGAATATTACAAAGACAGGAAAAAGCTGATGATAAAACTCTTTGACTAACTTTCCATGGAATTTGTGTCTACGTAATACAATGAGCCAGTCGCCGCACTATTTAAACGATATAACGTTTGCAATTTGGTACATATGGTAACTGTAAAAAAGTAGAAACATAAAGTTACGAAGCTCGAATGCGTGGCTATACGAATGCAAAAAGTTGACTGGCATTTCATAGAAAAGCGATAATATCATGTTAAAAAAGTTTTAAGAACGAATGTAACATAAATGTGTACCTAACATATCCTAATGGATGTCTGTATACATTTTATGTAACAGTGCTCAGCATTCCAACTAATGAACGATACTATAATTGAAAAACTGTAGGGTACACATATATATTTTAAAAGGGTAAAACCAACCCATTAACAAACGCTTTGTTGAAAATGAATTGTCTGCAAAACGCACTATAACGAAACCAAACTGAACTAACGAAAAACGAAAGCGCAACTTTTATTATCTCATATGTAAGGGGGGATAATGTACAGAAGCCTCTAGCGCATCTTTAATTGCATAAACACACGTAACGTGACTAGCAACATGGAGGAGAAAACAAAATCATTTGGATTTTCGGCGGTAAATAACGGCACATTGAGAACATCGAGCAAAAAATTTGCATTCTCCGCTTGCATCCATCCACTGCCAAATTATCATCGGAGAAATGAACACATAAAAGTACACGGCTGTTATAATTATCGCTATTACACGATACTAGGATTTACCGGGATGGTAAATAATTAGTGAAAATATAATGATTAGATGGCAGAGTTCTCTCGCGAATCTCATCATTATGTGCAAAATTCAAACTCCTTTGAACATATGTAAAGGTAATGTTTATCCGTAATTTTACTTGATAAACATGATAATCTCATTTCCTTAACAATATGGTATTTCAGCATTCGATAACTTATAACTACTGATTATTATTTACTTATATCACCAATTGAAATTAAGGATGTATACATAATACCAATTATAATAAATAAGAACTATTTCATACTTTCCGTCGAGAATAAAAGGTCTCTGTCGCATTGGAATTCTAGTTATCGAACTTTTCTTGGAGAAGCATAAGCTCAATATATGCTACATTCAATAATTAATCTTTTAATTATTAGTTTTAAGGTTAATAGTTTGTCACCTCGTGTGTTATTATTCTTTCAAGTTGCTTCACGCTTGTTTGTGTGATACAAGGCAAATTTGATTTCTCGCAATCCGCTTATAGCACAACGACAAGGTCCCCTGTGACTCGACGGCACCAGTTAACAATCCGCTTGCGCGCGGAAATGCAATCGCGGTAAAAGTCGAGAGATCTTGGCAGCAATTAACTCGGATATGATATCATGGGTAATTCCAGATCCATTAGCGTGCTCGGCGTGTGCGCGTCGCATACGAATCGCGAGCAAAGTTACACGAAGGAGGAGGACAGGGAGAGAGGTACATTTTTCGCGTATTTCAACGGGGTGATTACGAGATTCGCGACGGATAAACGTCCGTCTCGACACGATACGGTAATCGCTCGCGGCACGATCAGTTAGAACGTCCAAGAACATTGTGTAAGCAGCTAAGAACATCAACAGTCAACAGCTAAGTACGGCTACTTCGGTCTTCGCTAAATTTGCAAACGGGAAACGTTACCTTGCCCAGGGGTGTCGAAGGCTGGCCAGTCGGCGCCGGGTCCTTGATGTAGATATTCCACGTAGCGACACTATTGATGGCCTTATCAGAGGCATAACACCTCCACAGACACTGTATCAACATTGCGGCAGCTGGTATTTGCCGATTAAAGTGCTTTTGCCGTTGCTTCTGCTGTACCTTTAGCGCAAAGCCAGAACCTAGAATACCCTGTAAAAGAAATGCGAAAATACCAACTCACGAGGCACCGTACAACGGTCTGGTCGCGTGCAATTGTTTCGACTTCTTATCCCGAGCGACAAGTGGTTCATTACAAATGTGAAATTAAACTTCGAGTCCTTTTGTCAATGTTTCTTTTAGAAAAATGTCACGAAAGCTTAAAAGTTTCAAACGATTCAAACTAGACTTTTTGAAAATTAAAATTTAGAAAGAATTTAGAAAGAGGCAAATAGATATTTAGATATTATTACATTTAAAATAGACAAATATAGAATTATATTCCCTACAATTGAGTTTAAAGTAAATTTTGAATTCGAATTTGAGATTTGGTTACAAAAATATACAAAATGGAATCGTAAATTGCATCTTCTGAAATGGTGATTACATGTTTTTTTTACATTAATGACTTGATCTCTTATTACAGTACTATATTATTGTAATACTGTAGCTATAATAATAAATACCAGACATTCTGTATGTTGCAAAAGAAAGGAAAGACTATTCTTTATGATAACATACTTACAGCTGGAAGTGCGAAAAAAGATATGGCGAATACGCTGAAGCACGAGGCCACTATTTTTCCCATCCACGTTTGCGGAACTGTGTCACCGTAACCTATCGTCGTTACCGTTATCTGTAACACCGAAAAGCATCAAATACTTCTTATGTGCACAGAATTGCTCTGTACACACAATATCGTGTTTCTAATGATACCGAGTCTAATCCGGAAAGTTTTGTCGCATAAACCATTGGCATTTACTTTGGAAACCGTTTAAACCCAAGAAATATAATTAGTTGAACCTATTAATTAATACGCATTACACCCCAATAAATAATTTGTGCTGCCTGCGTACAGTTTCAATTATTTGCAGCGCTGCGAACATCGGTACCGATATTCCTATCACTCATCCATTGAAACGCATCGTTATCGCCACAATAAATTACGAATCGATTGTCTCTACGATCATTATTGTTCTTGAATTTTTTCCACGTGACCACGTATCGCGTATCCGTTTTTAAATCGCTTTTCTTCAGAGAATTGGTTTAATTTATTGCATGTTGTTGCCAGTTTTAAATTCTCTCTAATTATTAAACTGCACAGATTTTTACACTTAATTGGAAGGACGATTTGGCAAGAAGTAGTTGCAAAATTTAAGAAACACTTCGTTTATCTTTATAGACATAAATCATATTACTATATAAGTACCTGGTGTCTGTCTGTCTGTCTGTCTGTCTGTCTGTCTGTCTGTCTGTCTGTCTGTCTGTCTGTCTGTCTGTCTGTCTGACCGCGAACTCC